GAGAGGGAGAGGGAGAGGGAGAGAGGGAGAGGGAGAGGGAGAGGGAGAGGGAGAGGGAGAGGGAGAGAGGGAGAGGGAGAGGGAGAGAGAGAGAGAGAGAGAGAGAGTTGTACACCTGTGTGAATATATGTGTGGAGGCAAGAGGTTGACATCAGATATTTTCTCAGTCACTCTCTACCTTATGCATGGAGGCAGTAGTTTTCACTTGAAAGCAGAGCCCAAGAATTTGGCTAGTTTAGCTAACTATATTGGTTTTCTGTCTGCCCTGCCTCCAGTATGCTGGACTTAGAAACAGGCCATGAGACCCACCCTGCATTTAGTGGGTACTGGGGATCTGAACACCCACCCTCACGTTTGCACTACAAGTGTTTTTACTCACTGGGGCATCTCCATAGTCCCATAGTCAATATTTCAAAAAAAATATTTAGTTTGTGTGTGTGTGTGTGTGTGTGTGTGTGAGTGTGCATGTGTATGAGAGAGAGAGAGTATGTGTGTGTGTGCACCACACATATCGCAACATGCATGTGGAAGTTAGGGGACAGCTTCCTGGAAGTGCTTATTTTCTTCCACCATGTGGATCCCATGATTGAACTCATGTGTTCAGCTTCTGCAGCAAGTGTCTTAACCCTCTGAACAATCCTCATGGCCCCACCAATAATTAATACTCAGACAACTTTTCTCTGTGTTGAATTTGACAGACCTACAGCAGCAGAACTCCAAGAGGACGCGGAAGACAACCACCTCTTGGGCCTTTTGCCTGAGGGACCATGACAAAATACTTGTGGCCCTTCATGCTCCTCCTCACCATTCCAGTGGCCCTGGCAGCTGGTGCGGATCAAGCCAAGAATGAAGTGAAGACGTTGAGGTACTTTGAATCCATCAGCATCTCGAATGCCAATGTGAAGCAGTGTGTATGGTTTGCTATGAAAGAATACAACAAGGGAAGTGAGGACAAGTACATCTTCCTCGTGGACAGGACTCTGCATGCTAAGCTTCAGGTAAGAAAGTTCTGTTCAGACAGGACTTTTACATACGGTGGCACAGGTGGAGGCAGGTTGAGAGAGTGCACAAATGAGAATACAATCCTAAATGTGCGACTTGTTATGCACATTCTCACAGCGACAGAAGCAACACACTCACACGACACTTCTCACACACGCCAGACTCAGGTTTCAGTCACGTATATTAACTTAGTAACTCGGAACCGCAAATCGAATGTTCTCATGCTTATTGAGACTAGGAGAAAAATGAAGCCCCAGGAATATTTTGCAATAATGTTGCCATAGACAAATGCTTCACAAAACAGGGAATATGGAATGGGGTTATACAGAGGGACATATTGGATAAATTATAGATGTCATGTACTATTTAATTTTAACTTTTAAATTTATTTTTAGTTATGTGCATGTATGCTTGTGTTTGGGGAGTGTTGCAGTCACCTATGGGGGACAGAAGGGGACATTAGCCACCCTGAGACTGATGTTAAGGCTGTTGTGAGCCACTCATATGGGTTCTGGGAGCTGAAATCAGGTCCCTTACAAGAGCACTATGTATTTTGAACTGCTGGGCTATGTGTGTTACTGTTTTACCCAATGTGCATTTAGTAGAAGTGAAGACAGTGATTTTGGTGTAAAGGTGTGTCCCTTTTCACAGAGCCATGCATTGCCCAGCTCTAAGGAACACGGTTCACATAAATCCAACGGGCACAGTGCTTCCTGGGGTTTGCCACACAGTACTTACTGCTCTCTTGCATAAGCCCCTCCCCCAATGACAAATCAGGAATCAGAAACTGAAGTCTTAATTAGTTGGTGGTGTGATTGAATTGGAGAGGTTTTCAACAGCAATGTCACTGTTATGACAATTCATGCTCCCCCACGTCTCAGGAAAGCATGTCCTCAACATTGTACTTTTAGGACATGATGCTGATGATGTAGCATCCTTTACTGATGGTTTGCACTCCACAATCCCTCTTTCACACGTTCTTTGGTGCTCAGGTTGCACGTGCAGTTAGCAGTAGTAAATTTCTCACTAGCCGTTTTTGTCTTAGCTCCTGTAAGGGGGATGGTGAGATGAACAGCATTCTTCAGACTGCGGGGAGCCAGAAGTGCAACGGAAAAGAAAACCCCTCAGCCAGGAATTAGAATTCTATTTTGTATTGGGATACAGCACAGGGGAGTAGACTGTCAGGGGAAGTCTCCTTTAGACAATGTTTTCCACCTGTAGAATGTATAAACACCCTACCAAACAGACCAAATCTACTATTAAAATGAGAGTCTCTAAGTGGTGTCCAGGTCTTGGGAGGTGTTCAGCTTTCCAGGATGATGTCAGTACATAGAGTTGGCAAGAACTGTCACTGTCTTGGGCGTGACCTGGAAGGTAAGGCTTGAAGTCAGAGCAGGAGTTAATGTTGGGGGGGGGCTGTTGGGAGGCGGGTTTCCCTAGAAGCAGAGCATCATGGTAGAATTCAAGGGCAGGTAGGACATTTTGGAGGCCATTTCAGCAGGCACTGCAAGGGTAGAAGGCAAAGGAGACACGACAGTGGAAGGTGGCTGACCCGAGGGGTGAGTTAATGAGACTGAAAGAGTTGGTCTTCTTGACCTTGGGAAGGCAGACAGGTTGGGCCACTCTGTGGGTGGTTGGGCTATTTATCTACCAGTCCCCTTCTGCCCACTGCTGAAAACTGGTCTAGGAGACCTTCCAAGGAAGTCTCAAGCAAGAACCACAGGAGCTGGCACTATGTTTGGGAACAATACTGATAGCATCTGCTGCAAGAGGACAGCAGGAAGGACCAGGGATGCGAGGGTGGGAAAGTACAGTCAGGCGTTCTAGATCCTTCCTGTAAGGCTGCCAGCATGGCACCATGCCATGTTTGGCCTTAAGGGAGGGCCAAGATTTTTAGTTTGTTGTGGGAACACACAAATATTTGGATTAGGAAGCATTTAGGATTCCTGTGATCAAATTTGAGTTACAAGATTGTCTCTTTCTTTCTTTCTTTCTTTCTTTCTTTCTTTCTTTCTTTCTTTCTTTCTTTCTTCCTTCCTTCCTTCCTTCCTTCCTTCCTTCCTTCCTTTCTTCTCTCTCTCTCTCTCTCTCTCTCTCTCTCTCTCTCTCTCTCTTTCTTTCTTTGTTGTTAAACCAAGCATCTTCATGATGATCTACCCATGCCTCTTGCTATTGTTCTATGTCCCTAGTTCCTAAATTTGAATTTTAAAAAATAGCACCTGGCTAACTTACTTATAGAAAGAGGTTGTGGGGATATAGTCAGGATATCCACATGACAGCATGATCTACCCTCCTGGCTTTTATTCTCATTTTTCCTGGCTGGGTTAGCAGAGACGGCAGATTGGTGAGCCTGGTGGGCAAGTGGTGTCAGCCCTAGTGCTGAGAGTCTTCTTTTAGAAACTTGGATCAACTGCTAGATACAGACTCGATTCTTCTGTGTCTTCTGTGTACTTGAAAATAAAATGGGAGTGACACCTTCTTCTGGAGGACTGAAGAGTCTCTTAGTTCTCCCTCCTCCATAGAGACTTCTCCCTCCTCCCTAGAGACTTTACAATAGCAGCCTGGCAGAACATTTTTTTTTAAAAAATTTAAATTACACCATTGTTCATTGACAGATTACAGACCGAATGGAATACCAGATTAACGTTCAGATCGCCCGCAGCAATTGTAAAAAGCCTCTAAACAATACTGTAAACTGCGTCACTCAAAAAAATTCCAAATTGAAAAAGGTGAGTGACAAATGAGCCATCTATGACAATGCAAGTGACTTCAAGTCCTGTCTAGGATTAGCAAGGCTTCCAGGTAGTTGGATCATCTTGGGTGCCCAGATTATTATTATCAGAGGTCTGGATGACTCCCCATGAGGGATCCCATATGGCCCACCTTGATGCCCTCAAGAGTAGAAGATGAAGGATATCATCAAGGCCACTCCTACTCCAAGACTCCCATAGACTCTGGACTTTTGATGCAGGAGAAACTATTGGCATATGTTCACTGAAAGTCTGTCCTCTTGGACTGAGACTTGCTTCCCCAGCTGGTGAGGTGAATCACTCATGCCTGGGTAGACACAAAGGAAGTCTGTTGATACACTCATCTATACATAGATGCTATTGATCTGCAGCAGGTTTATTCCAGGTTCTGGAGATTAGGGACTATCTAGCCCAGACAACATCTCACATGTTAAGCACAGCCCATCTCAGACTTGGGTTACCTTGGAGATGAGGAAGCTACACTATTCATTTTCTCATTACCGTTTGTGCATCAGTTGAGAGCTTCTCAGACAGCTCTTGGTTTACAATTTCCTAGGGTTTTAGTTGGTAAGGACTGGACTCAAGCGGGGGCTTCTGTGAAGGGCAGAGAGCAGCCCATGTCATGATGGGCTTAGTTAAGAGGCTTTTGGACACAGCCTGTATGTCTTGATCTCCAAGTTAGTGGGGAGCCCCAGACTATTCATTTCACAGTGGAACTGAGATTGGTGAAGGGGCTAGTTGGGCAGAGGTATCTGCTTTCCTTTCTTTACTCGGATGGTTCTCCAACATGGAAAGAAACCAGCATCACATGGAGGCTCGACCAGCAGATGGCTGGGTCCTGTTTGTAGTTTCTGATTCAAGGATTTTCATTCTGAGGAAATCCCCAAGGACATTTTGAGAGCCTCTGCTGTATGTATTGAGCAAACATTTGCCAGTAAAATGAACAGAGTGTGTCCAGTTGTGTTTGACTGAAGTTGTCTCCACACACTAAATTTTAGAAAGGGTATCATGCCAGACAACAGAAGGTACTCACTAGGACAAACATATCAGCCCTGGGCATGTCCTAACATCATCTCACATCTGATAGGTCATTTACTGTTGTTTGGAAGATTGTGATTTTAAGTTTATGTTTTATGCTGGGCTCCCTGGAGTTTTAGGACAGTTGGTAACTTGTATTCTACCGTATTCCCAGGCTGATGCCTAATGACAGGGTAGTTCTCCTTTGGACATGCTACTGATGTTCATTGTTACTGTCTTTTTCAGAAAGTAAATTGCAGCTTTTTGGTAGGGGCGCTTCCCTGGAATGGCGTGTTCACCCTGTTGGACAAGGACTGCAAAGATATCTAAGGGTGTCTTGGAGCATCCCTCCCACTTCTGGGTCTGCCTTTCTCTGTGATAAAAGAGCAACATTGGTTCAAGGCTGCCACCATCACTTTGCTCGTGTGTGCCTCCCTACTTGCTTTCTTATTTATTAGTTTCACATTAGAGGAAAGGGGTGAAATAGGAACTCTGCCTTGGTACCAAAGATGGACCCTCACCTGTAGCCAGCTTCTGGACCATCCGAGTGTGGACTACTTTTGTTCCACATGGCCAATGGAAGGAGAATGTATTTTGATTGGATAATAATCCCTTAAAGAGATCTGAACCTGCAGGGTATTGTTCAAAAGATTTCTTCTAGATGCCTCTCTGGACCTGAGGCTCCTTCCTGTCTAAGAGTTCCAGGTGGGGTATCACCACATCAGGAGAAGCAGACCATCTCTGCGGGGGGGGGGGGCGGTGTGATTTGTAAATTGGGGGACTTTTGTTTCTTCTGCCAATTTGAGAAATGGTCAGAAAGAGAAAGCAAGAGACCAAAGTGAACTGTGTTGCCTGAATGGATCTGTGTGCATGCACTCATGTGTGAGCATGTATGTGTGAGAAGAATACAGCAGACAACAGAGGCAAGAGGAGGAATGGGAGACGGGGGAGACAGAGATGGAAGTAGACGAACATGGATGATGGCAAGAGGTAGAATTCCTTGGCAGAAAGTGACCATGTCAGGGCTGGAGAGATGGTGGTTGAAAGCATTTGCTACTTTTCAGAGGGCCTAACTTCAATTCCCAGAACATACATGGCAGCTCCCAGAACCATCTGAACCCCAGGTTCGGGGAATCCAACACTTTTTTTCTGGCTTCTATGGAAGCCAGATATATATATGTATATATCACATATATATCGAGGCAAAACACTCATAACCAGAAAATAAAAATAAATTTTACAAAAACCCCCTAGTATCTAATGGGGATAGAGAATTCCAGTTTTGTGATATGAGCAAGTTATCAGTGTCACTTCACTTGGCACTGCTCAAGTGTACATTTAAAGTGTTTAGGGTGGTAATCTTGTGTTAGATGTATTTTACCACTATTTAAAAAATACATTTTTATTTCACTTCCGTAGTTCTGGGGATGGAACCCCTGATCTTTGAGTGACACATGTGTTTGAAACGTAGTGTCAGGCATGATTCAGCAGGTCAGATGTATATTCCATGAATCAAACATGAGCCAGGATTTATCCACTTTGTCAGGTTGACAAACAATTTCAATATTTCTTCCCAGACAGAAGGAAGTCATGAATCTCAAAGGCTTAAGGCCTTGAGCACTTAAGCCAAGCCCGTCTGCTCGTGTGTGACCTGTGTGAACGTGAGGACTGGCTGTTCTACGGGGGTGGATGGGGCTGGAAGCAGTCGGTGGTCCGGCAGGAGCATCTTAGGAGGAACTTTTCTAAGTGGTGGGTCCGGTTAGACACATCAGATAATTTGTAGTCTGTCAGTGAATTAGGGACAGGTGGTAGGTAGCTCCTGAGGGTTTGGGGAGCAACCCCAAGTCCAGAGTATCCTTTTCTGATAATTCTTTGTGAGTGTCTTTGTGGTAGAGGCCGGGAAGGGCAGCTTCCATGGGGCAAAACTCTGGGGCTCACTCATGGCTCAGTGGAGGTTATTCTGCCTCAGTCTCTTAACCATATTCTGACTTCCTGTCTCTCTGCAACCAAGAAGCAAAGAAAAATGCTGGCCTGAAACATGGAAAAGGCAAAGGAAGTCAGTCTGCTCTTTGAAAGCATCTTGTTGCAGTACTAATTGGACTCTAGGTTTAAAAAAAATTAAAAAGTCAGTTTTTTCTCTGAATATCTGTTTGTCTGGTTTTTTGCTTGAACAGGAATTTAAATATGATTTACATGCTACATCTTTTATATGTGTGCTGTATTCGTCTGAGCTCCAGAATCATCACAAATGTGTGTGTGTGTGTGTGTGTGTGTGTGGTGTATGCATGTGTATATGTGTGTGTGTGTGTGTGTATGGTGCATGCATGTATATGTGTGTGTGTGTCACAAATGAGCCTTGTCTGTCATCTGACGTGCCTAGAATTTATTTCCGCTGAGGTGTTGGACTGTGCTGGTCCCATGACTCTAACGGCACAGCAGCTGTGGCTCCCAGGAACCCACCAGGGATAAACTTCACTAATGGCGGCCAGATCTCAGGCCTATGATACATTTTGGCCAGTGCTGACGTGAAGCAGCAAGGATGGGAATGGGGTCGATTGATATAAATGTTAGGGTGTTTCTCACCGAGGAACTCCAGCTCACAGCAGCTGTGTTCACAAGCTCCTAGTTTTCTCTCCTGATGTGTCTTCTATATCTTCTGCAATGTGAGTTGAGGAGGCTGAACAATGGTTCCAAAATGTCTATATTCCAGTCCCTGGAACCTGTGAGCAAAATACATATCTAGTCATAGCAAGTCTAAATTGTTCTGTGTCCCTGGCCAGTATGCCCTCCGCATCAGCCCCTGTCAAACATGTTAGTGTGATGAAAATAAAAACCCCAAAACAATGTTCCACTCTCAGGAAACTGAAGACTTAAAAGTGGATTTGAATTATGACACTATTTCTTCACTTAGTGCATTTTCCTTGTTTTATAAATTACTTGATATTCCTGTGGCTCAACAGTTATAGCCAAAAGAAGCCCTTGCCCCACTTCACCAGCCTTCCTCTGAATGTACTGTACCCTTGACCTTCTGCGGGGCTGGCTGGAGTGGCCTGAGGGCCTTCCCCAGTGTACGTTCTCTGCTATGGACAAGCATCCTCGGGAACAGAAGGTGATGTCAGCCTGGACAGCCCCTTCTGTGAAATCTACTTTGTGGTACCACCCTGCCCAGATGTTCTGTCTTCTTCACGCCACACTTGCCATATTCACCTGCTCCTAAATTATGGCCCACTCACCGAGAAAAGTTCCTGGGGTAAGAATCTCCTGTGCAGAGACATCACAACCACACAGTCATGCAGGTGTGCACCATATGAGCCCCTGAAATGTGCCAGGGTCATTCTTCCTGCCTGTTCTGTTGCATCTCTGCAAGGACTGGAGTCCCAGGAATTTAATGGATGGGAAGGCATGGAGATTGGACACTGGCATGGTGGGTTAACGGAGGAAGAGCCTTCCCTCTTTTGCCTTCTTCTCAGCAGTGTTCGATACTTGCTGTTGGGACTCAGCTGATGACTTTTTTCCTCCACCACAACAAAAATGAGTTTTGCATCTTGGCCAGTGATGATACTTAGACAGCCCAGTGGGAAGTAACATCTGATACTTCTCTGGGAACCTCAAGGATACCATTTCTGTGTCTCCAGGCCTCAAACCCCTGGAAAGTCAGTCCTGAGTTAACACCCAAGATATGGGATATGGTCCCAATTCTATTCTTAGTTTCAAGGTTTTTAACCAAGTAGCAATGCCTAGAGCTCCCCAACATCTTTCAGGAACATCACATATGCATAGCTCAGGTGGGGAAGCAGGGGTTCGGGGAGGGATGGGAGTGGGTATACTGAGCAGTGTTTGGTGCCTTTCAGGAGAGGATGAAGTTCTGAGTCTGGCTATGGGTGTTCTTGTATACTTTCACCTGTGAATTACTGAATCAGTTGGTTAGGGCAATGGGAACAGATGGCAGAGGGGCCAGCAAAAGAATTTAGGTTTTTACAGCCTCCTCCCATTGCTACAATAGTCCTTGTCCCATCAAAAAGTTGAAATGTTACTTCTGTAGTCATTTTTGTTCTTGAGCTGACAGTTTGTTAAAATGCACAAGTAGGTTAAGGCCAAATGCAAAACAGAGACTTGTAAAGATTCTGGCCAAAGAACAGAAGACTTTGACTGGATGACGGGGAGAGTCCTAACCTACGGGCCAGTAGTTGGATATCTGTAATATTCTCATCAGGAAGGCAAATCTGGGGCCTGTGTCAGAAAGGTGGTCACTGGAGGATAATTATGCAGATATTTTATTTTATTTGCCCCACAGTCCTGTTCTCTGCCCTACAGACAGACCTTCCCCCAGGGTCACCGCAGTGGCACACACACCTCTCCGTATCCTAAGCTTTCTAACAGATTTACTTCAGGGTATAGGGAACTAGCACGTCATGTTGTCATTCAGAACCTTGCCTGTTCTCATGGCCAGAAACCATAGGGCCCTCACAGAAGTCCCTTCTGTACCTCACCTTGTACCTGCTGGTGTGTTGCTCACCAGCGCCCTCTGCAGGGAGGCTGGTGGGCTTCTACACATCCTCTAGCAGCCTCATTTTGTCAGTACAGTAAAAGGAATACCAGCTTCAATCCAGAGCTAAGGACAGGAACTTGATTCCGAGGGGCAAGCTTCACCGTTAAGAAAAGGCTCAGCAGATCAGAGATTGCTCAAAAATCCTAGGGAGGAGTCCCTTCCCGATCGTCCTGCTTCCTTCACGTGAAGGGAATTCAGGACGAAATGACAAGTTCTGAGGATCTTTCCCAATTCACCCAGCTTCGTAACAAGATTCTGGGTCTAGAATCAGAGTCCAGTACTGCACCACAGAAGGATGTCCATGTATGCAGTAGACCCCACATAGGATCGTAGTCTCATAACTCTTTAATGGAGCTGAAACATTTCTCCCGCTGGTGATGCTACACCCTTTCTGAACCTTGTAACACCACACGTTCCCTACACTCATATTTGTGCTGATGCTGGCTGCAGTGGAAACACCAACTGTACCATTGCTCCGTGTACTTGATAGTGATGGGGAATGATTGCCAGTGGCTTCTGTATTTAGTAGACTTTACCATTACTTCAGAGTGTCCTCCTGTAATGGAAAAATTAAAAATTGCTGTAGGATCCCCAGTTGCAGCAGGCAGCAGAAATGCTGTAGATCCCCAAGCAGTGGTAGTGGGCCTTGTGGCAGCAGGCAGCAGGCCCTGAGAGCAGCCAGTCCCAGGCAGAGATGGCTGCCTATCCCTGAGTGGTGACTGGTCTTTGGCAGAGAGACATGTGGTAGGAAGGCAAGAGACAGAGACATGGATAGGCACGACATGCAGAATGAGGTTGGATATTTATTCAGGGGGTTATGGAGGGGAAGGGAGAAGGGGAGAAGAGCAGAAAGAGAGAGAGAGAGAGAGAGAAGAGAGAGAGGAGAGAGGGGAGAGACAGAAGGGGGGAAGGGGAGAAGTTTCTGCCTCTCCGAGAGGAAGATGGAAAAGAGAGAGAGAGAATAAGGCTGCAAGCAAGAAGGAAGACCTGCCTGCCTCAGCGGATGGGGGAGGGAGTGGGCGTGGCTTGTCTCTTAAAGAGACAGAACAACCATTACACCTCCTATTGTTCAAAGGAAGTTTAGGTACAAGAGCCTGCAGCCCCACAAATCTGATTGCCTCATCTTTTATGAGCACCAAGAGGCTACATGGAGTAATAGGTTAGCAACACCCAGATTTGTGTAAGTGTATTCTAGAATGTTCCCACATGAGATCATCTAAAGATAGAGTTCTCAGAATCTGCCCCATTATTGAGATGGGTCCCATGACTGCATTGAACACCCAGATGGATTTACAAATCATGCAATTTTCTCTTTAGAGACAGCTGGCTTGAATGACAAACTAATGGTCCTGAGTCCTGGTTTCTGTGCTCAGGGTGAGTCCTGCTGGGCTAGGCACTGTTTCTGGCTGTGGCTTCTCGATTTTTATAGCTTAGCACTTATTTAAGAAGTGACTGGTGTGCAGGGCATGGTGGTACAAACCTTTAATTCCTGCTTTCAGGAGGCAGAGTCAGGTGGGTCTCCGAGTTCAAGGCCAGCCTGGCCTACACACCAAGTTCCAGTGTTACTGCCAGGAATACACAGAGAAGCCCTGCCTCATAAAAACAAGACAAAAGAAGAGACTGGTAAGTGATAGATCTGTGGAGAATACAAGATGTGACCCTTTCCTTTCCAAGCTCAGTGACTTTTAAAGAGTGTTAATCAAAAAAGCCATGGTACTGACTTTATGGCCTCAACTGGGCAAACCTTCACGAGACCTCTTTCTCTCTGAGAAATGGCACAGCATCCTTGCCTCTGGCAGATCCCAGGTCCTTTAGATGAAAAAGGCTCAAGGTGGCCTGCGGATATGTGGGATGTTATCGCATGGGACAGAGCCCCGTGGAGAGGTAGCAATAAACAGCAACAACTCTTTTCAGGAACTTTAGCTTTGCTCACCTGGAGATGACTAGAATGTCTACATGGAAGGGAATTTCCCATGGTGACCGAAAAGGTGTGGGGTCTTGTTTGGAAGTGTCTTTCCACATTTTACATAAAAATGGAAAATTTTCATTTGTTCATATCAAAAACTGGAGAGGCTGGTGGTGGATAGAAACTAAGAAAGAGAACCCCAGGATCCTGGCTCCACCTTAGATTCATCATACTATTGACTCAGCATTTCCACATGGTGTCCCTCTGCTGGAGCTTAACACCCTATCAGATAATTTAAATATAGGTGCTATTTTGTCTCAGTCCACCAAGACCAGTGTGGAGGACCAAAGAGGCCAATGGTCAGAGAGTTTGGGTCTTGTTTTTAGTTCATTTAAGATTATTGTGCTAACTCAAACAAAGGTCCCTCCTAGTTCTGCTCTCTCAAGGCTATTGTCAACATGCTCGTGATGTCTATTCACCAGCCATCGTGCTCCTGAAATAGGGAAGTAGTTGGTTCCTACCTAAAACAAAAAGTCTAAGGATCCAACTAATTCCAGTTCCCTTTATGGAAATAACTTGGGATTTCACCCAGGGAGTGGTTTGCCTACCTAGTGTTTGGTCTAGAGCGTGAGTCTAGGGCATGAGCTATGAATGTAGCCCATGACTTTCTATTTGTATGTTAATACAGTCTTTTGTTTTACTCTTAGCGTTTGGGGTCATGTGTATATTAACCAGTTGGAAATTAAACGCAGGCGAATTTCAGTACTCACTGAAAAATTCCCTCCTGATACTATCCTACATGTTTCTGTGTTTTATTACTTTCATTTGTGTCTTCGTATTCTTTACTATATTTCCAAATTCCCATGCCTCCACTCTGGAAGAGGATATTTTTGTCAAGGTTGGCCCCCGACAGACTAGGTTCTTACAAGATGGCTGTTTAATGTCTGCTTGACACAAGCTAGAGTCATCGGAATCAACTGAGAAAATGCCTTCATTGAATTTGACTGTAGAGCATTTTTTTAGTTAGTGATTGATGGGGAGGGGCCAGTCCATGGTAGGTAGTGCCAGCCCTGGGCTGGCCATCCTGAGGTTTATAAAATAGCCAACTGAGAAAGCCATAGCGTGGGTGAGTATAAGCTGCATCCTTCCATGGCCTCTGCCTCAGGTCCTTCCTCCAGGTCCCTGCCCTGTTTGAGTTCCTGTCCTGGCTTCCTTCGAAGATGAACAGTGTTGGGGGAAGCATAAGCCAAACAAATCCTTTCCTGCCCAGAATTCTTTTGGTGATGGTGCTTCATCCCAGCAATAGAAACCCTAACTTAGATCATGGTGATGGGTCTTGATTCCTGACTCCTGTGACCAATGCATCCCTCCCAGGAAGACAACAGCTTTGTCTTTGCCTGGGGCTGTATCAGACAGCATGCTTCCACACCCTTTTTTGGATGTGGTGCCAATCATGGCCTGACCAGCTGATCTGAAGCTTGCCCCTATCCTACCCACTGTGAAACTCACTTTGGTAACTCTCTTGGGGGCATACAGTTTGAGTTCAGCGGGAACAATTTACTGAGAGAGTTGCCAGCACCTGGGTACTTTCTCCTGGCGCGTTCTCTTCCATCCTTCTTTTGAGGCACTAATAAACTTTCTCCACCAATTACTCACTGTGTGTCTTGTCGCTTCATCTAAACCCTGTGTCAAACTTGATATTTGTTGACAAATCTGATGAAGATACTGGCTGTTCTTTTGGAGACAGTGCAGTTGGCTCCCGCTCCAGCCCGTGCTTGCTTTTCCAGCTAGCAGCCTTGCCAAAGGCAGCCTCCCACTTCCAAGGTCAGTAACTGAGCTCCCTGTCTCTGGGTCTTGTTTTTCCTGTGGCTTGGGTGTCTTTCTTTTATCTTCACACCATTGTTTGTCCCTTTGAGTGCTTTTGTGTTTCCATTGAACAGGCTCCTTGATCTCAACATCTCTAAGATTTCATAATATGCAAGAATTAAATGAGTAGAAAGAACTATAATGGTGCCTGGGGCTGGGTAGCCAGATGGTTCAGAGGTTAAGAGCACTTCCTGCTTTTTCAGAAAGCCAGGCTTTAACTCCTGGAACCCACATAACAACTGACAACTGTCTATAACTACAATTTTAGGGAATCTGAGGCCTTCTTTTGACCTCTGGAGGCACCAGGCACACATGTATATGGTGCCCAGGCATACATGCAAGCAGAACACCCATATTCATAAAATAAAAATAAAATATAATAAAATAAAAGAACTATCATGGAGGATTTCCAGTTTACTAGAGGAGAAAACAATGCTATGAGCCCCACTACCGGGACAGAAAACAAAAAGCAACAATTAAAATCACCTGTGAATGGATTAATAGGACATTAGTGATCTCAAAGATGTGAACGGGATAAATTTTCCTAAGAAAAGGGCCAAAGTTATATTCTAAGTTTTAATTACTATGCTTTAGAGATCCATAAAAGAAAATTGCCTCTGATCTGCAAGCCCCTTGTCCAAGGACAGATAGTTCCTGAAATGCCGGGGGCTGTTGTTTATGGGGGATAATAAACTGCATGTTTTTCATTCCTCTAAACAAGTTTGTTAGCTCCATCTGCACCTATATGCTTGATCACATGTGGGCGGGAGGTTCGCAGGCTAGAGGTTTGTCAGGATGTATGCTTGCACCAGATTAAACCTGATGGGAAATACCATGAATTATGGGTTTTTCCTTCTTAAGCCACTGCAAACTATGATTCTGGGCTGTTTTCCAAGAGCCCAGGTATGGACCTGGCCAGAGCCCATCCACCTGGGCTAGTATTTAGTTAAAGCACACTTCAAATTTGGCTTTAAACTGTGGTAGTGCTCTTATTCTCGATTGGTGGGATTAACAGAACCAAGGCTTGAAAATATAAATTGGATAAAACATAACTGAAAATCAAAATAACCAAGTGTAAATATATGTGAAATGCTGGGTGAAAATAAGTCCTATTTTTGAATGGGCTAGAAAATACAGTGACTCAAGGAAGATCTGGAACAATGTTTATAAAAGAGATGATAAAGTATCTTTAGATGTGTTATTGATGGGCTGAAGAACCCTGGAAATTCTTGTAGAATGGGCTGCTTAGTTAGGGGATTCCCTGTGACCCACCTGGACAGAGTACCACCAATTTCCCCCTGCTTGACAGGTCCCTGACACTGTCTAGAACAGGGCCAGACAAACTGGGAGACTCCAGCAAATACTTATACTACATATTTTGGTGCTTAATGTGTTAAATGATTCATTTGGAAGACATAATAATTTTGAACCTGAATGTATTTCAAATTATATCAGTACCTCAAAATAGCAACTGTTGGCAGAATTGCCAGGTGACAAGGATGCACCCCAAGGATATGAGTATTGTCACACACACTGCTTGGGCACTCACATCAGGAAGAGACAGAGGAGGCATGGCTCACAGTGGCGTGCTCATCTGAGGGTCACTTGCAGAGTCTGTTGCCCAGACCTTGGTAGATTTGAAAGTCAGGAACTAGTTCTTCAGGAGACTAGAGTTCATAACTAGGAGATGATGGTCCATGGAAGAAATTCAACAGGCAGGGAAGATGAAAGTAGAGGGAGGAAGAGTAAATCTCAGCCTCCAGACCCCGACCAGAAAGAGAGAACATTCAGAGACATAGGAGGTGCAGGTGTGGGTGGCAGAGGAAGAAGCCCCAGTGGGCAGGTTCCATTTGTTGTCCTGCTCAGGGAACATGTGGGTCCCATTGGCACCTCGTCTCAGCTCGAAACCAGCCTTTGATCCTACCATCTACCCACTTGCATTTTTCTTCCTGTTTTTAAAGTTTCCTTATCTGCACACCCCCACTCCCTTTGTTGGCTTTCATGCGGTAAGGTGATGTGTGCCAGGTACTTTGTGTGTATACAGCAACTTCACTTACTGAGCTAGAATTTTGATTCATAGAAACTAATCATGGATTCCCTTGTCTCCTTATTTCACTCAGCCTTCGATTAGCTTTGCCTTTTGTATCTGTCGGTGTGCCTCACTCTCCCCACTCCCGCTATGTACAAACTCTTTATCATGGCTGGAGACGACCCTTGCAAAATTTATATGCTTATTGATTGATTTTTCTGGAATCTTTTTCTGGATGAGAAATTAAGCTTGCATGAGGATATGTGCACAAATGGTTGTTGCACTATACATGCAAATGAAGCAATGACACATGCTAAAAACAGGGGCCAGGATTCAATTATGGGGCATGACTCAGTCATTAGAGCTCCTCCTTATAGGATGAGGAAGGGCAGATAATATGCCAATGAGCAATTGCATAATAATTCTGATATTCCTAAATGCTAAATAGAATGTACATTGGGGCAGCAGGTTAGATATTAATTAGCAAGGATAGGTAGGGTGAGGCGTAAGACGTTAACAACAGAAGGTAACCTTGAAAAGTTGGAGCCAAGGGGCACCAAAAGCCACATCATGTAACAGAGCTCACAGGGGAGGTTTATTGGGAGTGAGTGCAGAGATGGCCTCTGGACAGGAGCAGGAGGAGAGAGGGGCCCAGCAGGGCTTGCTGTTTATAAGGAAACATGGTGCGTGCACATAGGGAGAACACTCTACTCAGTGACAGCACTAGTCACAATGTCACATCTTTCTCCTTTGCTTTCTTCTTTCTTCGTTTTTCGAGACAGGGTTTTTCCGTGCAGCTTTGGAGAGTCTGTCCTGGAAGTAACTGTGTAGACCAGGCTGGCCTCGAACTCACAGAGATTAACCTGTCTCTGCCTCCCGAGAGTTGGGATTAAAGATGTGTGCCACCACTGCCTATCTATAGTGTCACATCTTGGCTGCTACTGCTGAGGTGACCTGCTGGGTCACTGAGAGCAGGCCGGTGTAAATGCCTGAACGCCAACATGAGGACCATCTAAGAAATATATCTCGCTGGTGGCTGACATTCCACCTGATCCCAATTCAGTCCTTGATATTTTCTGATTCTCCTTCTTTTCCAACTCCACAATAACCTTATGATCTCCTAGGGACCACCTTTGACTTCAACCAAATAGCTCGGACATGAATCTTCTTCCTTCTGTTGCTTCACATCCTGGCTGACATCATCTTCTCCCCCCAAATACAATATTCCAAAGGTCCAGGTCCAAATATTCTTGCCAAACTCAAACCATCACACAGAGAACAATGACTAAAAACTGGAAACTCTATCATGCCTCCAGGACCCTCATGCATAAGCATCTGATTTTGGATTTTAGTGTTTTAGGTCAAACGATTGGCAAAGCCTATCTGATCATGGAGAGGAAACACAGAAAGACAACAGACAAGGTGTTGGCAAAGCAAAGACTCAGCTGCCTTTCATCTTTTTCCTGAACAACAACAACAACAACAACAACAACAACAACAACAACAAGTGCAACAAGAGCTTTTCGGAGCTGATGAACCAAAGGAGAGGTTTAACTAAAACTTTAGACCTGAATGTAGTGGATCACAGTTGTAATTCCAGGATTTGGGTGGCTGAGGTGGGAGGGTCATGAATTCAAGGTCTACCTGGGCTACATAATGGTCTATCTGTCTGTCTATCCATCCACAAAAACTGTTAAGGAAAGAGAGAAGAATCAAGAACTATATATAAACTATGCCCTCATTTGCATTCAGGATCACGTTTATGCATTTTGGCAAATGGAGGTTCACAAAGTCAGGAGTGGAGTTGAGAGTGTTTGCTCACCGTCATCATGAGGCCTCCTCTATATGTTGGAATCCTACTGTGCCATTCTGGGCCTTTCAATAGAGCAATTCTTTCAGGAAGAGAGTCAATCTGGCATGAGTAAGTAGCTTTGAAACTGAAATTCCCAAGCACTCCTGTCCCTGGTTCACCCTCCCATTTTCTTCTTTGACATCCATAACCTGCTCTCTTCGTTCTTCCCATCCCTTCTTTGTTTAGTAGTTTCATTCAGCTTGTAATGCTTATGTGGGACAGATCTGTTTCCTTTCAGTCCAAGCACATATTTTAGTTGATTCTCTTACATCAACATCAGATATTTTATTTGATTGTCACAAGGGTGGGTCCTTTCCTTTTGCTATTATAAACTGTGTTGTAGCAATTTTCTCTCACTGTGCACATCTGCAAATATTTCTTTTGGATACAGTGGTAGGTCCGATGAATAAGTAACTTTTAAATGTTCTACAGAAATGGCTAGCTCAATGACTGGTCAGAAATGTTTGGAAGTCTTCTGCCAAGAGTTATGAAGCTGGTTTGTCAATCTAACACTAGATAGATGGATATTATTAAGCTTACTTTTCTTCAATGTAGCACAAATTGTAACATTGTATTGTTAGTTAATTTAAACTTTTATTGTTCTGAGGCTTAGCACAGTTTTACTTGTGGAGCACAGATACTTATGTATTATTTATAGACACTGTATGTTTATGTATTTTGTTCAGGGTTTTTATTAATTATGTATCTTTTAAAAATTGCCTGTAAAAGCTGTTCCTTTAAGTTGTTTGAGAATTTCATACATACCTATAATGTGGTTGGACCAAATCCACCCCTCTATTCCTTCCCCTATGGCTTTTCCCGTTTTCCCTCCACTTTCCCCTCCCAATTTCAATTTAATGTTCTCTCTCTCTCTCTCTCTCTCTCCTTCTTTCTCTCTCTCCGCACACTGAGTACTCTTGGTGCTGACTGTGTGTGAATGGGTGCAAGACCATCTACTGCAGTACAGGTCTCTCTGAGAAGCCATAATCCTAAAGAAAACTGATTATCTTTAGTATCCATCTATTGTTAATAACTCTTCAGGTAGGAGTGGGGCTTCATGTGTCCTCCCCAACACATACTGGGATTTGGGGTGGTTTTATTGTGTGGATACCTTATTCATGCAGCCACAGCTCATGTGAGTTTATATGTGTGCAACAGTGCCATCATGTCTGGAAAATTCTGGTTCACTCTAGTTATCTTCCCCCCTCTTCCCAGGGATTTATGTGCTTTAGGAGTAGGGGTATAATGCAGATATCTCATTTAGAGCCAAGCAGCCCTCTACAGTTTCTTCCTCTCTGCATGTTAAATAGTTTTAGGTCTCTATATTAATCACTGGGCTGGCCAGTTTTATGTTAACTTGACCCAAGTTAAAGTCATCTGAAAGAAGGGAGCCTCAGTTAAGAAAATGCCTCCATAAGATTATGAATCCACAACATACTCAAGCTTATGGACACAATGAAAGAAGTACTAAGAGGAAAGTTTATAGCACTAAGTGCCTATGTAAAGAATTTGGAGAAATCTCACAGGAGTGATTTAACAGCACACCTGAAAGCTTTAGAACAAAAGGCATCAATTCACCCAGGAGGAGTAGATGGTGGAAACTAATCAAACGCTGGCTGAAATCAATAAAATAGAAACAAAGAAAACAATACAAAGAATCAATGAAACAAGGGTTGGTTCTTTGAGAAAAATTAACAAGATAGCCGGGCGGTGGTGGCGCATGCCTTTAATCCCAGCACTTGGGAGGCAGAGGCAGGCAGATCTTTATTAGTTCAAGACCAGCCTGGTCTATAAGAGCTAGTTCCAGGAGAGGCTCCAAAGCTACAGAGAAACCATGTCTCAAAAACAACAACAACAACAACGAAAACATGTTTAGCCAGATGGTAGTGGAGCACACCTTTATTCCCAGCACTTGGGAGGCAGAGGCAGGTGGATCTCTGTGAGTTTGAGGCCAGCCTGGTCTACAAGAACTAGTTCCAGGACAGGCTCCAAAGCTACAGAGAAACCCTGTCTCAAAAAACAAAAACAAAAACAAATTCAACAAGATAGACAAACTCTTATCCAAACTAGCCAAAAGAGGCAGTGAGAGAACAGCCAAAATTAACAAAATCGGTAACAAAATGGAGGACATAACAGAAGACACTGAAAAAAATCCAGAGAATCATTAGATTAAATTCTGTACTTCACAAAATTGGAAAATGTGAAAGAAATGAACAATTTTATTGTTAAGCACTACATACCAAAATTAAATCAAGACCAGATAAACAATTGAAAGAGACATGTACCTTCTAAAGAAATGGAAACAGTCATTAAAGTCTTCTAACGAAAAACAAGCTAGGGTAGATGATTTCAATGCAGAATTCTCTCAGAATTTGAAAGGCCTAATACCAATACTCCTCAATATTCCAACAGAAATAGAAGGAATATTGCCAAATTCTATTTATGAGGCTACAGTTCCCCAGATACTCAAACCAAACAATGATATAACAAAGAAAGAGAAGTACAGACCATTTTCTCTCATGAACATTGATGCAAAAATACTCAATAAAATACTGGCAAACCAAATCGAACACATCAAAACATCAAAACCACACCAAAAACAGCATCTACCATAATCAAGTAGACTTCATCCCAAAGATGCAGGCATTCCTGCATATAAAAATATGCATATTCAACGTATAAAAATCTGTCAATGTAACCCATCATATAAACAAACTGAAAGAAAAACCTACATGACCATCTCATTTGATGCTGTAAAAGACTTGGCAAAATCCAACACCTCTTCATGATAAAGATTCTCGAGAGAAGGGATACAAGGATCATACCTAAACATAATAAAGGCAATATACAGCAAGCTGACAGCAAACATCAAGCTAAATAGAGAGAAACTAAATGTAATTCCACTAAAATTAAGGGCAAGACAAATCTATCCACTCTCTCCATATATGTTCAATATAGTACTTGAGGTTCTAGTTAGAGCAATAAGGCAACAAAAGGAAATCAAGAGGATACAAATTGGAAAGGAAGAAGTAAAACTTCCATTATTTGCAGATAATATTATAGCATACATAAACAACCCTAAAAATTATATAGTTGACAAACACGTTCAGTAATGTAGTTGGATACAAAATTAAAAATAAAAAGACAGTAGCCCTCTAATATTCAAATGATAAATGGACTAAGAAAGAAATCAGAGGAACAACACCCTTTATTATAACCACAAATAATATAAAATATCTTGGGATAATTCTAACCAAGCAAGTGAAAGACAACCTATATTAAAAGAATTTTAAGTCTTTGAAGAAGGAAATCAGAGAAGAAATCAGAAAATGGAAAGATCTCTCATGTTCATGAATCAATACAATTAAGATAGTAAGAATGGCGATCTTCCAAAAGCAATCCACAGATTTAATGCAATACTCATTAAAATATCAACACAATTCTTCACAGACCTCAAAAGAACAGTACTCAACTTCATATGGAAAAATGAAAAATCTAGGATAACTAAAACAATCCTGTACAATAAAGGAACTTCTGGTGGTATCAACATCCCTGATTTTAAGCTCTACTATTTAACTATAATAATAGAAACAGTTTTGCATTGGCATTAAAAACAGACATGTGGATCAATGGAATCAATTCAAAGACCCTAATATAAATCCAGGCAACTATGAACACCTGAGTTTTGACAAAGAATTCAAAAGTATACAATGGAAAAAAAGAAAGTATCTTCAACAAATGGTGCTGGCATAACTGGGTAGTGGTAGGTAGAAGAATGCAAATAGATCCATATCTATATCCCTGGACAAAACTCAAGTCCAAGTGGATTGAAGGCCTCAACATAAATTCTGTTACACTGAAGCTGAGAGAAGAGAAAGTGGGAACTAGCCTTAAATGTGTTGGCACAGGAGACCACTTCCTGAATATAACATCAGCAGCACAGTCACTGTGATCGGTAAATGGGACTTCCTAAAACTGAAAAACTAGACATCAAATTACCAAGCAATCTCCTTAAAAAGGGGATACAGATTCAGACAGAGAATTATCAACAGAAGAATCTCGAATGGCTTAGATACACATTAAGAATTGTTCAACATCCTTAGCTATCTGGGAAATGCAAACCAAAAACGACACTGAGATACCATCTTATACTTGTCAGAATGGCTAAGATCAAAATGCTATTGACAGCCTATGTTGGTGAGGCTGTGCATTAAGGGGAACACTCCTGCACTGTTGGTGAAAGTGCAAACATATACAGCTACTTTGGAAATCAGTATGGTAGTTTTTGAGAAAATTGGGAATCAATCTACCTCAAGATCCAGCATTACTTCTCTTGGGCATCTATCCAAAGGATGCTCAATCATACTACAAGGACACTTGCTCAGCTATGTTCACAGAAGCATTATTCAAAATAGCCACAACCTGGAGACAACCTAGATGCCCCTCAACCAAAGAATGGATAAAGAGACTGGTACATCTCACAATAACACAATGGAGTGTTACTCAGTAGAAAAAACAATGACATTGTGAAATTTGCAGGCAAATAGATGGAAACAGAAAAAAATCATCCCAAGTGAGGTAACCCAGACCCAGAAAGATAAACACAATATGTACTTACTCATAAGAGGCTGTTAGATGTAAAGCAAAGGATAACCAGGCTACCAATCCTCAGCCCCAGAGAAGCTAGGTAACAAGGAGGACCCTAAGAGAGATACTTGGATCTCCCTGGGAAGAGGAAATTGATGAGATGTCTTGGATAAACTGGGGTGGGGTGGGGGTAAAGGGTTTGGGGGATGGTAATATGAGGGATCAGGTTGGTCCAGTTGGGGCTGGAATGGAGAGGGAGAGTAATGAAAGAGATATCTTGATAGAGGGGGCCATTATGGACTTAGAAAGAAACCTGGTGTTAGAGAAATTTCCAGTAATCTACAAGGATGACCCTAGCTAAGACTCCTAGCAGTAGTAGTGGAGAGGGTGCCTGAACTGGCCTTCTCCTGTAATCAGATTGGTGACTACCGTAATTGTCTTTACAGAGTCTTCATCCAGTAACTGATGGAAGCAGATGCAGAGATCCACAATCAAGCACTGTGCCAAGCTCTGGGAGTCCAGTTGAAGAGAGGGAGGAGGGAATCATATGAGCAAGGGAAGGGGTTAAGATCATGATGGGGAAACCCAAAGTGGCAGCTGACCTGAGTTTGTAGGGGCTCACGGACTCTGGACCGATAGTTAGAGTTGGCACGGGAACACCTAGGTTTTCTGCGTGTGAGTGACAGTTGTATAGTTTGTTCTTTTGTTGGGCACCTAGTTTGACCAGGAGTTGTCCCTGACACATGAATGACTCTTTGGAATCTATTCCCTACTGTGGGATGCCTTGCCCAGTCTTGATGCAAGGAGGAGGAGTCTGGCCCTGCCTCAACTTGATAAGCTATGCTGTATTGACTCCCATGGAATGCCTTACCCCTTCTGAATGGAGATGAAGGAGGAGTGGATGGGGAGAGGGTAGGAGAGGGTGGGGAGAGGGAAAAGAGGGAGGGGAAAGTGTGTTGGTATGTAAAATAAAGAAAGATTTGCTGTATGCAAGCCTATAGTGTATTTTCTTAGTGTTTGATGGGGGTAGGGGCCAGCCCATTGTGGATGATGCCCTTTCTGGGACAGTTATCCTGAGTTCTATAAGAAAGCAGGTTGAGCAAGCCAGTAAGCAGCACCCTTCAATGGCTTCTGCATCAGCTGCCTCCAGGTTCCTGTCCATCTTGAGTTCCTGCACTGACTTCTTTTAATCATGATCAGTGATATGGAAGCCAAAGAAACCTTCTCCAACTTGCTTTTTGGTCATGGTGTTTCAGCATAGCAATAGAAACCCTAGCTAAGACAATCACCATCTACCAGTAAAAGAAGCTTTTCTGATGAGGTTTGAGAGATGCATTAATCTATGGGCATGAAGATGAGAACTTAGGGAACTGTTTAATAATATGTCCATCTAGCATAATAAGTCTATGACCTAGCCAACCACGAGTTTTTGACCCAATTAATGGCGCTAGGCATAAGTTTCATCTTGTAGAGTGGGTTTTAAATCTAAGCAGAAAGCGTTTATTTACTCTGTAACATTTGTGCCTCTATTGAACCAGTAGGCATAGCTTGCCAGGCCAGTCATTACCATGACTTGCAGGACTTGCAACTGAGTAAGACTATTGATAACTCTTCTCTCCTGGAAGAGGGCATAGAGCCTTCTAGTACCAAGAAAACTAGTCGGGAGGGATGAAGCTTTTAGGTTAATCAATAATAGCTCTTTGATACAGAAATTAAAAACTGTCACATAGTTGTCAAATCTTTATCAGTCGCTTCATATCCACCTGTAAGGATGGCTATCATCAAAAAGACTAGAGACAAGTTTGATGCAGCTGTCTTTGAGTCCTTTCTACTCCTATGAGAAAGCCCTCTTACATTTCTGCAAGTAATCCTAAGAAAACTTATTGGTTTACCAAGTTTGCCTTTGGGGGGGTGTTTTTACTTTTTCTGCTTTTGGTTTCCTAGCTGGAATGAATATATAGTTTTGTTCATATCTCCCTGGAATAGTGTTGCCCAACACAAGTGTTGCAAGGGGTGAGGGGGGGCCCTTTGTTTGTCCCGGCTGCCTGGCTAGCTTACACCTGAAATAATCACACAGAAACTGTATTCATTAAAACATTGCTTGACTCATTAGCTCTAGTTTCTTAATGGCTAATTCTTACATCTTAATTTAACCCATTTCTATTAATCTGTGTATCCCACGTGATTGTGGTTTACCGGAAAGATTCTAAACAGTGTCTGTCTCAGGCAGAAGATCCATGGCATCTCCCATTCTGTTCTTCTTTCCAGCATCCACTTCTGTCTTCTCTGCCTACCCAAGTTCTGCCCAATTAGGCCCAAAGCAGTTTCTTTATTTATTAGCCAATGAAAGGAACACATGAACAGAAGAACCTCCTACACCACACAAGCGCAGTGGGCCAAAGGTTGATGGGACCTGTCTGAGGTATCCTGACTAAAACGGCATCAGAGAGGCTGGCTTACCTCACAAAGGGGTGCAGGTATGACCACCTGGTAGGAGAGTGGAGTCATAGGCCAGAAGCACCTGGGACTTAACCTCCCACAGAGGCCTGACCTGGAACAGGAGCATGACCTGAGTGTGATGGTGATGGCGAACAACCTGGGGCTAGAGGCCGTTTAATCTTAGTCTTCACTGAAGACACAGGTACCTATTGTGGGGCAGAGCGGTTTCTTTAAGGCCCAATGATCAGCAACGTGGCTGAGAGCTTGGTTTAGACATGGTACAGGAAAGAGTGTCCAGGGTGGTCTTCGAGGGCCAGGAAAGTAATCCAGAGAACAGAGAACACAAAGACTCACTGAACAGTTAGCTCTGATTTGCCTGTAAAGCATCAAAAAAGAAACACAGTTGTCCACTCGAGAGAGCCTACTGCATGAGCAGATGAACATTACCTATGGACAGGATGTACGGGACCAGAATGATGCTGTCAGAGAGTGGGTGGATTAAAACCTCAGAAGTACCCCAGTTATATGTATCATGCTCAGATTCAGTGCTAGATGCATGTCTCTTAGTTCTGCCACCAAATTATTTTTTTTTATTTAAAAGATTTTTTTTTAACATACTAACCACAGTTGCCCCCTCTCCCTTCTTTCCACTTCCCCCTCCTCCCCACTCCATCCCCATCTGCTCCTCAGGATAAGGCCTCCTCCCTTGGGGAGTCAGCAAAGTCTGTCTGCCAGCATATTCTATGCACCACCTAAGTGTGGTCTTTCCACTTCTCAAGAATCCTGCAGTGTCTCTTAAGCTATTTGTTTGCTCACTGTCTCTACTGTACACGCCTTAACCAGTTTGTCCAGAGCTTAGATATTTCAACTCAATTTATCTTCTCTGGTAAGATGGGATAACCTCCAAAGCAAACGCGTATTCCAGGTTGTGACTTAACATGTGAATGTCTCCTCGATTGAGGTAGGTTAACAGGGTGGGACCAGCAGTGTTTAGACCTGGAAACCCCCATCAAGCAGCCTTAGGCATTTTCTTGGCTTTTTACTAAGCTCATTTTCCTTCTTTGTAAAGGGGCCACTCTGTATTCAGCCCCTATGGAAGATGGCAACGAGAGAGTGGCATAAGAGACACAGGGCCTGACAAGTCTCAGGCCAGCAAGAAGGTCTGAGCTCTAACTGGCTGCCCAGCCAATGGGGGAGGTTCTGCGCACACAGCCTTTAAGGCCTGTAGGGAATCTCAGGTGGGCCTTGCCACATCTGTACCTGGAAAAAGAAGAACTTTGAGAATATACTCTGGCTGAGGAAGCGCTTCTCATGCTGCCTGTGCACGGAGATCTGATTCAGACTCTGTCTTCATCAGGACCTTGAGAACAAGAAGATGGTATCACTCAGAAAAAAAAAAAACGGGTGGGGATGGAGGGAGTAGGGACAATTATTAAGGAACAGATGAGCGGCTCGATGCATAATTACATACATCAAGAAAGGCTGGTACTTGAGTACTTGGGGACTCATGTCATTTCCACCAAGCCCCCAAGCCTGCACCAATCTGGCAGCTCTCCTAAGCCTTTTCAGACATACTACAGAGGTTCCAACACACAGGCACAATTGATAAAACCATTACCCATTGGTGATTAATTCAGTCTCCATCCCTTCAAGGCCAAAGGTGAGCTGAAAGGTTCAATCTGTTTGGTACTTCTGGCAATGAACTCTGTCTCTTTTATTACCAAAGAGAGTTAACTTCTACATGGCTGAAAAGGGCTTGCTACAGAATATATATATATATTTTCTCTCATCATCACTCAGGAATAGCAGGATTCTAATGATAGAAATATGGGGTGGGGGAGTGGAAATCAAATATGCATTTCTCGTTATAGTACAGTATCATAATGATGTTAACAGAAATCCTTTCTTTTTAACCCACAGCAGTGTCAGGAGTTGAGGTGAAAGCATTATTAGACCTGCAGAGGCAGCAGGGCCTTACTGGCTACATCCACACCAGCTCTAGAAAGAAGAAAAGAATTTGGCATGTGTCTCCTTAAATGAGATACCATGGCCAGATTCTTACAGGCCCTGCTGTTCCTGGTGATCACAGTGGGCCTTGTGTCTAGGAGAGTCCAAGCCTGGGGCTCACCGAAGATTGTGAGGCCATTTGAAGACATCTCCAAAACCTATGTCTATGTGCAGCAAGCACTCTGGTATGCCATGAAAGAGTATAACAAGGCCAGCAAGGACCAGTACAATTTCAAGGTGGTGAACATCCTAAAATCTCAGGAGCAGGTAGGTGCACTGCCTGCTCCTAATTCCTTTTTCCCTCGGTCTTCTTTTGGAGACAGAGATTAGTGTCAGGGATAGCTACTACATAGGAGTGGAAACCAGGCCAAAAGATATCCCTATTGTTAGTTCTCACTGGAGAATTCTCTTTGTAAGTTCCTTGTTTCCTTCTCAGTATACTTGCTATATAAAAGTAAAACCTAGGGGCTAAGAAGAGGGGTTGGTAAAGTGAGGACCTGAATTTGATCTACAGCATCTATTTAAATGTTGGACATGACAGTGCACGGCTCTTGGGGCAGTGGGCAGAGATAAGTAGACCCCTGAATCTTTTTTGTCATCTAGCTTAGCAAAATTAATGAGCTCCTGGTTCAGCGAAAGTGATCCAAGAAGACATCAACCTGTGGCCTCTTGGTGCATGCAGGCATCCATATGCACGAATATACCTACCCACATGAATACATACATATACCATACACATACATATACTGTATACAATAGCAAAATAATGTCAGCCAGGTGGTGGTGGCACACGCTTTTCATCCCAGCAATTGGAAGGCAGAGGCAGGCAGATCACTGTGAGTTTGAGGTCAGCCTGGTCTACAAGAGCTAGTTCCAGGACAGGCTCCAAAGCTACAGAGGAAACCATGTCTTGAAGAAACCAAAAAAAAAAAGGTCAATAAACAAATATCAAACAATTGTGAGAGGGAAATGAAACAGATGTCAAGATAAGAATTCCCTCAAATCATCTCCAAACTTCTGCCAGGAGATGTGGAGTCAAGGAAGAGCAGGAAAGGTAGTCTAGCCCTAAGAAGCCAATGGCATATTGGCTTACCAGAGGGGTTACTTGATGCTGGTTTCTTCTACGAGATTTGACTTGTATGACTCACTGACAGATTACAGACAGTCTGGAGTACTATCTTGAAGTAAACATTGCCCGGACGATGTGTAAGAAAAGTGTTGGAGAAAATGAAAACTGCCTGCTTCAACAAAATCCTAAAATGCAAAAGGTATGTAACTGACATGCGAGAAATGGCCCCTGTCTTACCTGCGTGAAAAGAACACCGTGAGGCCAGGTCTAACACGTTTGCTAGTTTCTTGTTTAAACTCTGTTCTGTGTGAGACTGTGGTAGCCAGACTTCAGACCTGAGATGTTTCTATTATCTATCATCAACACCATCCTACTCCATTCTACGAGACATATACATGCATATATACATGCTCAAACAATCAGGAAGACACACATGTACAAGCATACATAGAGGGAGACATATATATTACACATGAAAGTAGGCTTAAAGCAAAGCCAATTCAGTATTTCATGCTATTTTGCATTCTGGATAGAGTACCTCTGAACAATCATTCTGCTCCTATGGTGTATACTGGCAGGAATATTCCAGATGGGTGGGTCACTCACTATCGTAGGTGCAGCGCCTCACAGAGGATGGCTGATAAAGCTGGAGCTACACCAGCTTCATTCCTTCTGTTTGAGGCTTCTCTGGTACAAAGTCATAGAGGGAAAAGTATTGTTTTATTAATATTAAAAATAATATTTTATCATCATCATCATCATTACCATTATCAATAATAGTAGTATAGCAATTGCAATAGCAGCAGCATCGGCAGTAGTAGTGGTAGGTGTGTGCATGCTTGTGCCTGTGCAAGTGCACGCCAGAGGTTGATGATGGCTATCTTCCTCTACTGCTGTTCATCTTACATAGTCTTTGGAGACATAGTCTTTTACTGAGGATGGAGCTTGCCATTTGGGCTAGGTGGGCTGTCTAGGAAGCCTGTGGGATCTGTCTCTATTCCTCACAGTGCTGACATTACAGATGTGTGATGTTGTCTCCAGCTTTTACATGATGCTGGAGTCTGAATTCAGGTCTTCATGCGTGTGCAGCATTCTTTACTCACTGATCTATCTCTGCAGCCCTACCTTCTTAAAGAAGAGATAAGCAGACCCTGCTATCAGGCCTGGATAGTGGCCTTCTTGGTAGATACCCTTCCCCAAGTGCCATGTACGAGGAGGAACTGAGCCAGTGAACAGGGTGGCATGATCACTTCACCGAAATCCTTGAAGCAGGGAGGGTCAGGAAAAAACCATCTTGTCTGATTCTATTAGGCCTGTTGTTGTATGGAAGCCATGGGAGGCTGTGGGGCTTCTGAATGGCTCTAGATGTCCAACATAGAATCCCATGTACTGCCTTTTGCTCTTTCGTGTTAGAGTTGAGGCGCATCACAGCTGTGCTCTAGTGTTACCAGACCTTGTGCCCAGATGAGTACACAGGGGCCAGTCTATGACAATGGGATGAATATTAATGTCTGATAAGCAGACATTTTATATCTCAATTTGTGCTGTATAAGTGAATTAGGTTGTATATGTGTACATAAATGTATTCTAAAACTTCATAAAATTATACTAGAGATAAAAATGGTAGTGTGGGTCCTTCTGGGACCCTTGATAATTTTCCACTTTCTCACTTCCAGGAGTGACTTTGGGCACCATCTAGGTCAAGATAACCTTTATAGAGATTCCTATAAATTGAAGCTTTTATTCTCTCTGCTTTTTAAATTGTTATGCATGATGCGTATTTTGATGCAATTTTTTGATCATCTTTGCTTAAGGATATTATTCACATATCATTCACTTTTAATGCCATAGAGATATTTCAACTTTATATTTTTACTCTAAGTTAATGTAAATTTTTAGAAGAGAGTGCTCCTTGCCCATCATGAGTGGGAGCTGCCCTTCTGCAAGACTCTGAGACCAGGTCACACATCTCTCTGAGGTTCTCCATGAAGGATGTTTTGCTTGGTTTTGCTTGGTGTCTGAACAGATTTCCTACTTTCTCTGAGAAGCACACAGCTCTGTGTGCTCTGGTTTCATTGATTCCATGAAGCAGGATCCACTGGGATCTAGGCACAGCAGAGGGCCTCTGTTGATCACAGGAAAATGGGTTGTAACTGGAGGCAGATTTGAAAGGTCGAACATTTCCTGTGTTCAGAATGCTTCTGTGAGGAAGTCTGACTCCTCTGTCTTTAGAACCAAAATTGACCATACATGCAGTGCAATGGGTATGCTTGACTCATTCTCTTAGTCCTCTTAAGTTAAATCCTGGGACCTGGAAACAGTAACTTGTGTCATTTCCCCTTTTTTCATACTATCTCTCTCTCTCTCTCTCTCTCTCTCTCTCTCTCTCTCTCTCTCTCTC